ATATCCTTACATTTACCCCAGATCCACATATATTCCTCAACTTATGATGGGGCTGCCCGGCATCACAAGAGTATTAGATCATGTATTGCTAGCCCGAGAGAAGATCCAAATTCAAATTTGAAGCATGGTTTTCTCCTGAACACATCACTCTCGCACCATCATGAAGTCAACAAAATCTTAAGTCGAAACATCTTTAAGCCGAGGACCATCCATGTACACATTCACATACATGTATTTGATTACTACATGGTACATAACAGACACTCATTACATGTTTGGTGAATGAATAAATGAGTAAATGGATAAAGAATAAAAGGACGATATCTTGTGAAGTTTTAAGAACGGAACAAATTATTCACCTTGAATGTTTTTGACCAGTAATGAGATCCTTAATGTTGATCTGAAGAGGAACTATTTTTTTTACTCTCTAGTCTTATACTTGGAGTCAAGGAGGGTGGTGGGGAGACAGGCCAGGGAGGAACCAATGGGTCCTACTCTTCTGAGAAAGAGGTAAGACTTTATCCTCCCCCCAGCCCCCTTCTTAGAGATTAGCCAGATAAGACTGGAGGATTTCCTGGACAGACCAGTTTACCTTCCCGAGGCAATCTGGTTCCCTGAAACTTGTGGCTGCTGGGTCTGGGGAGGGATGGGGAGGTGGAGCTTCTTGCTCTGAATTTCTGATGCACTATCAGCACAGACTCTTTTCTCACTTCTCAATTCTCCTTTATGAAGTGTATTTTCTCTAAGGGGAACACCGCTTTCTCTGGAGAACTATTAATTCCCAAGGAGTAAGCCATTGAAGACTGCATGGGAACACCCACTCATTTGCAAATTGGCAAAAGAGTCTCCCACAAAGTAGAAGAAGGCTTGATTCAGGGCTTAAAGGAAACAATGGAGTCCATTTAACAAAGCCAACATTTAATGAACTCAAAACAGTGTGCTTTAAAAAATAAGTTAATAAAGCAGCCTTTTAAACTTTAATGCATGCCTATTAGCTTTATTTCTGAAGTACCATCTGTTACCATAGTAAGGGTTTCCTGGTTTGTTTATCTTCAGGATTCATCACCTACATGATTTCTGACCGATGAATGAAAATGTTGGTTGGAATTTTGCAAATGAAAATCTTTTGGCGTCTGGATCAGCTTTCACAAATCATGCAAGACCTTCAAATAGAACAGATAACTTCTATTCCCTGGCAATTTGCAAAAAAAGACACTTGAGAGACAAGCTCACCTTTCAGATGAGTGCCATAAAACCCCCTTTACTGCATTCTTTTGAGATCCTGGGATTGTTCAAATCTTCCCATCAGTTTTGTGTGTGTGGTTTATGGAGAAATAGCAATAAGTCTCAGCGGGAGACATTTCTTTGGGATCCATCTCCCAGTGGCATCCCTTTGCCTGCATCCTCATCTCCAGAAGGGAGAGGGGTGTTGGAAAGCAGAGAGGGGATGGGGTGGGGTAGCAGAACAGTGGGATAATTACCAGGAAAAAATAGGAGCCTCCTACCTTTTATCAGAGCAAGTATCAAATACTGTTCAGCCCCAGTACATTTTGTCCTGTTCTGTTTCTTATGCAAATTCAACATCTAGTAAGCAGCCTGCCACAAAAGTTAATTCCACTTCCCCAACTTCATTCAACTTGCCCTTGAAAGGAGTATCATATACCTGATTGTTAGCTGGGCCCCTACATCCAAGAAATTGTAGGCGAGATCTTATCATTATCAGGCTTTTCTAGAAATCAAAAGCACCTACTCTTTGTTAAGGTGGGCTTCTAAAGAGAGAATTATTCCCATTAGAAATAATTCTAATGCCCAGAGTTCATACAGGAACACTATTGACATGTCTTCCCAACTTGAGGATACCAACCTCAGACGAATAAACTTAATGGTAGCAAACCTTCACTGAGCACTTACTGTGTACCAGGCTTTGTGCTACGCAATCTACATGCATCATTTCTTTAGTCCCTTGCAACAGCCCTAGGCCATAGGAAGCCCAAATTTACAGATTTAGAAACTGAAGGCTTAGAGAGGTCAAGTTACTTGCCCAAGATCACACAACTGGAAATATAACAGAGCCACAATCTCTGATTCAGAACCTGTGCTCTTAGTTACATGTGACATAATTCAGCATTGATGGCAATAATGTATATACTTTCCAGTGGTGACCCACTCCTAATGGGCTCCCCTCTTTGGATTTCCCAAATAGAATAAAGCATAAAACAATGATGCTCTACCCCTAATAGAGGAAAATAAACCATGTCTATATATATATATATATATATATATATATCTTATTTAATACACTAACACTATGTCATAGATATTATCATATCCTTTCAGGAGTGGAGGAAATTAAGACTCACAGAAGCTATGTAACTTGCCCAAGAACCCACAGCTAGAGAATGGTATGGGTGGGCCTCTGATTCCAAGCCAACAGCAGGGTCTATCTGCCCAAACTCACAGCATCTTGCAGGTGTTTATCAGACATTTCCACTGGGAGACAAGAAAGGTTTTCATTTCTACTGCAACACTTTCCTTGACCCTTCCAGGTCAGAGATTAGATGATCCTGTTGACCTGCCTGAGCCAAAGTTGGCTGAAAGGAAGGATATACTTGAAGATGTGTGAAAAGAATCTTCTTGAGATAGAAACAGGTATCTCAACATACATAGAGTAGCAATAGTGAGTTATCAGTGATGAACAATCATTATGTTGAATCAGAGGGGCCATTCTCTAGAAGCAAGGCTGCTTTGGGCCTCTGTGACCTGAGCTACTGGTTCATTCCTCTGCCAAGCATCATGATTTCCCCCCTTTTCCCTCCTCTCCATCCCACATTTCATCGCTACGCATCCCCCACCCACCCACTCAGTTCCTGGCACCACTGACATGTCTGTGTTTTTCCAGCACACGGTATATGTTTGAGGCTCAGTAAATGTTTAAGAAAATGATAGAGGAAGAAATAAGGTAGGTTAGTGCGAAGCCTGAGGAAAGAGGAACTCAAAGAATTCACGCATACTTGTTAGAGTCCAGTGCCTTTTGTGCTCAAGAAGTAGTGCCTATAATGAACTGTGGAGATGAGTATAAACATGCTGGTATTTCCAGGCCACATGAAACTTGATCCAAGTGTATGAATAAAAAAAGTAATATGTACCATCCCCCTCCTCTCTTCAGCCCATTTGGTCTTTATCCATAAAATACATGCACGTCTGTTATATAATATAGATATGCCTCCTGTTACATGAAACTAGATACAACACGTTATGTTACTTTTTTTTGAGGGGAACAAAAAAACCAACTCAGGGACATAGACATTTGCATGAAATTGTTAATTGTATGTCCATGTAATCTATTATTTATTGTCTACTTCATAGCTTACAAGAGCCTTCATTTCATTGCTCTCCCGCTCTGTCAGGTAAGCCCAGGGCTATGGCATTCATTTAGAGAGAAGGAAAGTGAGTTACAGAAATTTTTAATGACTTGCCACATGGCTACTTCCTTGTTTTCTTGACACCATCATTGTAAGACATACCACCAACTTAACAGTAGGTTTTGGAAATAAAGAAACTCTATCGTGTTATGTATGCACATTGCTTATAGAACACATCCCAGTGTTTCCAAACATTAAATTATGTGCTCTTGGAGGGAGGGATGGGTATCTTCAAACTAAGGAAATGTGGTAAGTAGCAAAACAATGATTTAACCCAGTATTCCAACTCTGAGTCATTGTGTATTGGTTACTTAACTTCTCAGCTACATTATAAAGCCCTGCCAAGCAGGGCATTTTTTTGTGTGTGTGTGTGTGCTTTTTATAACTGTCTCTTAAAGGGCTTTATGTAGTGGCTTCCATTGATTGATGAAAGAGTCTGTTTCCTCTAAAAACAAAAACTAAAACAAATCCTGATTTTTCATTCTTAAATTTCTGGGTGCTGAAGAATCTCATGCAATATATTCAGAAGCTTCACACAAGCAGGATTTTATTTGTTGTTTTCAGTGGGATCTGGTTTGTTGACTAAGAATTGAATCATAAGATTACCTTTTTAAATTCCCTCTTCCAATATCACTGCTCTGGGAGACGAATAAAACTTCAAAAGCCTGGAGATCTAAAATAAGAGGTTATATTTCAGGATGAAGTTCTAGAGAAATGCCAGGATGACATTCTAGTTCAGAGTTTATTAAAAAATATTAGAGGGGACCCCCCTTACCATGTTTATATTGACACAAACAACCTTTTTTGTTTGAGTAGTAGGTGTAACACTGTTGAATGTCGCTCTTCTTTAAAGTTTAGATAGCCTCCATATAAAGATAAGAACACAAGAAATAAAGCAAAGAAAGTAAGACATAAAGAAAGAAAACTGTCCCCTGGAGCCATGCAGAAATTAGTTTGCCTCCAATCAGAGTTATTTTTTGTTTGGGGGGAAGATTCAACTTTTTATTCCAATCCTGGTTGAAGCAGTTAAAAAAAAAAAAAAAAAGGTTTTTTCCAACTCTGTGAAGTAAAAGAAATTAGATTCAAGTGGCTGAACTTGAGCTTCCCATTGGATTATTGTGCAAGGTTTCCCTTTATTTCCCCCCACAGTGGATAATGCATGTTCATTGTGATTTATCTGGAGCCGGTTTCTTTTACATCCTCAGCTGATATAAAGTCGAGCGAGGACTGAAGTCGGAGGTTTGGGGAGCATCTGGGAGGCAGCCTCTACGGTCCAGAGAGAATGAAACATTCGGGAACGTGAGCAACCGCATGTGTCATTGACGTTCCCAGTGGTAGGAGCCCCACTTTTTGCCTCTCAGCACAGACAAGGAACCATTAAGAAAGAGGGACAGAATTATTGATCTCCCTGGAAAATTTTCCCCCAAGACTGTGTGTGCTGCTTTGTTTTCATCTTGATTTTAACTTTTCGCTCATGTTTCTGACCTAGAATGATCGAGGCTCGGGCTCTCTGGCAGGACTGTGAACCTTTGGCCAGCTTGGTTTGGCCACCTGGCAAAGAGAGGGTTCTGAGAAGAGATGGTGATGAGGGCCTTTGTCCTGTTGGCTGTCTTCGCGGAAGCCTCTGCGAGATCTTGCACTCCGAATAAAGCAGGTATGTCCTGGGCTAGCCCATCTTCCTGGAAAGGGAAGTTTCCTAAGACACTTTGCAAAGCTCAGAGCTCTGTTTCTCTTTTCATCAAAATGCAGTATTGTAGCCACATAGACCCAGTGAAGCCTCCAGGCCCAGCCAGACTTTTCCGTAGGAAATAACAGTGTAGTGGATAAACTTAGACTTTTTTAAAATTAGAAAATCCTAGATAGATGAATGGATAGATACATAAATAGATATAAAAATATTTATTTTCAATCAATAAATAATAATGTATTATAATTTCATAAATACATAATCTATTTCCTATTTGACCTACCGAATTTTTGTCCTGTGCCATAAATTAGGTTTCACAGTGCTACATATGAAATGGACATTTTTAAAAATTTTAAATGATGTGCTCACTTTCATGGGCATGCAAATTTGTATATATTTCTAAACTGAAATATATTTCTAATCCATTCAATCTGGCTTCACAGATATATCCCTGAAAATAGATGAAAGCTTAAAAGTAGACCAGTCTTGAGTACATATTAAGGATGGAGCAGATATCACAAAAATGTAACAGAAACTGTAAAGGCAGAGCTTCAGTGACTGAGGTTTAGGGAAAACATTCACCACAGTCATGAAGAATAGTGAGGAAAGTATTTTTAATCAACTGCTTTTCATGTTCAGGTGTGCCTAGAACCCACTGTTCTCTATGAAGATTAATATGATTTTCATATCTGATTTCAAACCCTGTGTATCCTCTTTCTAGATGTCATTCTTGTGTTTTGTTATCCCAAAACCATCATCACCAAAATCCCCGAGTGTCCCTATGGCTGGGAAGTGCATCAGCTGGCACTCGGTGGGCTGTGTTACAATGGTGTCCACGAAGGAGGTTACTATCAGTTTGTGATACCAGATTTGTCACCTAAAAACAAGTCCTATTGTGGTACCCAGTCTGAGGTAAGTCCAGGCCACCCAATGAGGAGTTGCTAAGATTACCCAACTGGGCCCTGAAAATAAGACATCTATGGCCCGCCCTTAAAAAGGATTAAGAATTCACCAATTTCCTTTTAAAAGCCAATCCTCACTTTTATATTCTGGGATGTTAGTGTTATTTAATTTCTTCTCATCTGCCTTGTTTAAGTGACTCTTTGGATTTGAATTATATTCTCCTAATTTTGTGCCTGAGCGAACTAAGCCACCTTCCATGAGTAAACAACATACATTTCCCATCTCCATCTTGCTTTGAGTTCTGAGCTTGGGCTCACAAGCTACCATCCTTCCAGGTTAGATGGTGGGACTTCTTCTGACCAAGACTTTGAAGTAGTTGGAAAGGCATTTTAAAGGAGTAACCAAAGTATAATACAATTCATAATTGGGTCTCGTGAAGTACCTGGGACAGATAATCAGAATTGAAAGGAACCACATGCAACCTCTTGCCGAATGTCCTTGTGTGACAGAGGAGACATAGGAGACCTCCCAGTAAAGTCACAAGCTGGGAGCCACAAAACCAGTAGGGGTGTAGTCACGAAGGGAGGCTGCTCTGCTGCTCACCCCTAGTATTCCTATTACCTTGACTGCAAAAAACTAGACATAAACGGGGTCTCATAAAATGAAAACAAAGAGCTCCCCAGGGTCACTTCCTTTTCCTAAAGTCCCCACAAGGACTGTGATTTAGAGACTCATGGACATGATTAACAGAATCATCATGTGTTTGAGTCTCCTGAAAGAGGGAACTAGAAATCATCTGTGTGGTCTTAAGCAGGTCACCTCTCACACAGATGTTTGAGATCCCTTCCAATTCCAGTATTCTGAAATCTTAGAGTTCAACAAGCCAGAGGAAAAAGTCACAGAAAGACTGCTCATTATTGGAAAAGGGGAAAAGCAAATAATGATGTAATGTTCTAGAAACAAGAGATGGGTGAAGGCATTCATGTAAGATTACTTGGATGGGAGAAATGGATTAACAAATTGGTACTGGGACACAGAGATCCTTTAGCCACTTCGTTTGGCCAGAAGCCGAATGGGTATATGAATTTCTTATAAGTGTACAATCTTTGACCTAGATTATTCTAAATAATCTTAGTTGAACTTTTTGGTTAGTCAAGAACTCTGCAGAAATTCTCAGCTCACCACTGACACCTTCCCATAGGTCTGACCATCTTAGATCACTTTTCCCAGCCAACTCATTCTCGTCATGCGGTCCAAGGCCACCCTAACTGCCTTCCCTCTTTCTCCAGTACAAGCCTCCTATCTACCACTTCTACAGCCACATCGTTTCCAATGACAGCACAGTGATAGTAAAGAACCAGCCTGTGAACTACTCCTTCTCCTGCACCTACCACTCCACCTACTTGGTAAACCAGGCTGCCTTTGACCAAAGGTAAGTGGCTCTGAGCGTAGAGGGCTGGCTGCCTTGCGTGTGACCTGCAGTCCCTGACAGTCAGGTATGTTTCAGTCCTTATGCAAAATTCTCTCCCCTTTCCAGAGTGGCCACTGTTCATGTGAAGAACGGGAGCATGGGCACATTCGAAAGCCAATTGTCTCTCAACTTCTACACTGTAAGTGGTCTCTGGGTTCTCATTAGTGCCCTGTGGCCTGTTCAGGAGATGATGGGATGCTTCCTCAGGATTTGCTCTTCCCTAATCTCTATGCAGAACCCCATTCTTGAATTCAAATGAAGACATCAGCTTTGGTCTACTTGTACCCCTCTTCAAGGACTAGATGCCACAGAAAGGTAGATTCATAGACTGGACAGAGGAGCCAAAAAAGGTTCCACAGAGATGTAATGCCTATGTGCCCATTTTATAAGAAAACCGAGGAGAGAGCAATCCTGTGAGTTGTCGAAGGTCAATAGGCAATAAGACAGACAACATCTAACTCTTAAGCCAGATTAAGTTTCCACTGCAACCCATTCCAGAGATTGATATTAGAGTCTAGCTCCTGCTAAAGCATTTGGCACAGAGTTATGACTTTCCTACCTGGGACAGAGCTAAGGAGAAAGGTCAGGTTTGCCCTCTGCTCCTTAGTTCTTTGGTATCCAAAGCCATCAGAGAGTGGGCTTCCTCTTGGTCTACTTTGGGCATGCTGCTTCTATTGACATTGAAGTTAAAAGCACACTTTGATTTCTCAAAATAAAACTAAATGTGCAACAGCCATTAGCCCAGCTGCCCTTCTGTTTGGAAGGGGTGTTTTGTTTTTTAAACCTGCAGCTTCCAATGAGAGGCATACTTATAGTGACACTCCAGTTGGTTGGAGGAAGATGCAGGCAGAAATAGAAACTTTTACATAGAACATTAGAACTGGGAGATATCCTTACAAGCCATCATGTCCAGCCCATTCATTTCACAAAGGAAACGACTATATTACCTGGAACTCCACTGACCTTGAACTCTGAACTTGCTTTACCCGCTGCCTAGAAGCTACCAATGCACTGCCTAGAAGTTATCAATTCAGAAGGTGAGAGATCCTCTAAAAGGGATCTTAGAGTCACCTGGTCCATTTACAGACAAAGATCTGCAGCCCAGAAGGAGGAAATGATGTGCCCATGATTCCACAGGTAGTGTGAAGCAGTGCCCAGTCTAGCATACAGATCTCTCAGCTCTGCTCTCTGATGTTTACTTCCAATGAAGGGGAGAAGGGGATGGAGCTGAGGTTTCATGACCTCTATCTCGCGCTGGCCTCATTTAAGGTCCTGTGTCTAATTTCATATTCAACATTTTGACTCTCTTTATGAAAAAGAACTCTATAAATTATAGAAGCTTTAAGGTCCCAAAGAACCTAGATCTGCTGCTGACCACACATCAGTAATGGTTAAGTCCAGAGAAAAGGAATCCCATATAGGCCCTGGGCCTATAATCAGGAGGGTTAATGCAGTGTGGACCAGCAGGGGGATTAAAAGATGGCTACATCATTGCAGTAACTGATGAAGGCTATCCAGAGAGAAAAACAGGCTCACTTATCAACAACAGTCTCAGGGGACATCATGGTGATGGGTTGTCTTTACTACTGAGTCCTCGTCCAGATGTGCATGATTGTTATTTTAACCAGATAAAATTATAGATATGATCTTATGCTGATTTATGACAGCTTGTAATAGGCACCAGGATTATCAAAAACTATCATCCATCATCAGCCATGTTGGGCTAAGTTTCAGACATAAATATCAAATCTCAGAATTGGAAAAGAAAATTTTTAAGAAGTAAAAAAAGAAGTATAGCCTCATCATCACCCACACCATCCCCTGGGCTGGATAGACAGACTTAACAGGACACTTCCTTGAACTGTTCTAGAAAGAAGCTAAGGCGTCCCCTGGGGCCCATCAAGACCTTTACAGGACCAATGACCTCAACAAAAAGGGGGTCTGATGTTGCAACAAAAACTTTTATACTGATCAATATTCTTACCATGGGCTTGGTTTCCTATGCCTGACCCATGAGACTGGTATTTTTCTTCTCCTCCCTCCTTCCGCTCTGAGAGCATTCTTGTGTGTTTCTGAAGCAACAGCTGCCCCCTGCATACATTTCCATCAAATTACCAGAGAGAGAGCTGTGCCCTAGATTGCACAAAAGAATCAATGCACGGCTAATTGCTTCGGATTCCAAGAGCTCCGAATGCTGGACTCCAAAGCCACCAGTTCTACTCAACATGCTTCCTTTCTTCTCCGTCTACCCCCTCTCACTCACTCCTGCCAATAGCCCATAGTTGGTGTTCCTGGCGAAAAGTCATTTTGGTCCCCAATCCAAAATAAAGGAAGGTAGTCAGCTTGTAGAAGTAGACTATCAGTGTGCTTAAGAAAATAGTCTGCCATTGGCCCACTGGTTTAAGGTCTAGTTCTATCATTTACTAGTTGTGTGACATTCAGTAAGGCAGTTAACCTCTTTGGGCCTTCATGTATTCATTTGTTAAATAAAAATAATAATAGCACTTGCCCCATGCATTTATTAGGAGGATTAAATAAAATTATTATTATTTTTAAAAGATATTTTATTTATTTACTCATGAGAGACACACAGAGAGAGGCAGAGACATAGGCAGAGGGAGAAGTTCTTCCCAGGGAGCCTGATGCAGGACTCGATCCCCAGACTCAGGATCACACTCTGAGCCGAAGGCAGACATTCAACTGCTGAGCTACCCAGGAATCCCAATAAAATTATTTTTATAAAGCACTTAGCATACTACCTGGCACAAGATAAGTGCCTGTGAAAGTAGCCAAACTCATGATCACAGCCTTTGACTCCATTTAAAATGAAAACTCTGAGAGCTCCTAGCACCACCAGTTACCTTTATAGGGTTGTTACCTTTGTACGGTTGTTACCTTTGTACATCAACATCAGTATGGGATTAGGTTAACTTTTATACAATCGAAATAGTGTTAGCCATTCTCAGTTAAACCAAGACCAAGGAAAAGGCTTGGGATGGAACAAATGCAAGCAATAGAGGCCAAATTCATAGACTTCCAAAGCCAGAACAATCTTCCGAGGTGATCAACCTTGACCTTCCACCCAAAGTCCAAAGCCCTTCTATAAGATCGCTAGAGGGTAGGCTCCTTACCAAAGGAAAAGGGCAAGCGAGCCCTTCCCATTTTAGATCAGCATGTGAAATCTGATATCCCATTGGTCATGGTCTGTCTTCTGAAATAATACTGAGTCATGGTGTTGTTGATGGCCCTTCACCTATCTCAAGTTTATCTTCTCCAACATCACCCCACCACTGGTGCTCCATCATCCTACCCTTCCCTCTGAGAACGATCCAGTTGGCCACTGACCCTGCTAAAATGCAGAGCCCAGAAATGAAATATTATATTGTAGGTCTTTTCAGATCTCTGTGGGCCACAGTGGGTCAGGGGTGACCTTCTTATTTCTGAAAGATTCTGGGAACATGTAGAATAATATTAGCTTTGTGCAATTTTCTTTCATTTCTATTTCACATTGAGCTTGTGAGCAACACCAGCCCCCAGATCTTGCCCACGTGAACTGCTATTAAGCAGATGTACCCATCCTAACTGTGTCAATGGACGATTGTGACTCAATCTTTCCATCAAGTGAAGGGACTGGAAGGCTTGATTTTTCAAGCCCTGTGTTCTTCCATCTTGTTCCACAAATGAATAGTTTATGTGCTGTCTCTATGTTTCCAGGAATGCCAAAACAAATGGTCTAGGTATTATAGGATGAAGTTATCTGGAAATAGATCTCTAACTTACGTTATAAAGAAAGTAGGAGGAAATCATGCTGAGAATTGCCTTAGCTATAAGGTGAGAAGTGGAGAAATTGACCAACAAAGTATTTTGTTTCAGAAATGGAATTAATGGTGCAGATTCTCTTCTCTACTTTGTAACAGAATCATCCTAGCTCTTCTGCAAATACAGACATTATTCCAATATTCTGGTACCCAATTGGCTGGTCCCTGGAAGATGGGGCTGGGAAATGTACCTGCAGATAAGCTAGGGACTGCATTGTGGTCCCCAGGTTAGGTCTCACATTTGTAAACAGTCTCTTGAAATATGACAAATCTCGGAAAATAATTAAACACTAACAACCATTGTAAATCTGCTGCTTCAAATGCATAGTAAGCTAGTAAATCACTTATGATTAAGAGCATTATTATTCAATTATTCCAACTATTGAAGTGGTGCAGGGGGTGGCAGACAGGAATAAAAGAACTGACTTCTGAGTGATTGACTTGGAACCCTAGCTGGACCTTCAATCAGGGAAAATAAATGTGAGAGCCACTACAAGATAATTCTGAGGCCTCTCAGCAAATGCCCTGAATTGGACCCCGTTAGGGGGCTAAAGTCCGTTGTAACTAGATATCCTTGCTGACACTGTTTACTCATTGCAGTTTTGCAAATCTCTAAGTCCATGAAACTCAATCTTTTAACTAATATCCTGGTTTAAGCTTTACGCATCTATTACATAAAGTCACCATCATAAAAACATTTCTCCAAGGCTGATGAAGGCAAAGGTCACTCACATTTTTCAGAAGGGGAAACTGAGGCCTAAAAGTCTGACTTGCCCATAATTTAGTGTGGGAACTAGGATTAGCCTAGGAACCTTGTCCTTCTGTCATGATGCTTTTGTCTCCAGAGGCTAAACTCACAGAGTAGCTAAAGGATGGTACTAAAGTTGAATGAAACTAAATGAATGGGTATCAGCCTCCTTTGGGTAAGTCAACTGACATACTATTTTTTAATAACTCACCCACAACTGCCTAATGAAGAGGCCAAGTGAAGACCACACACACCACATCTGTGACCAAAGGCTGCTGTTTCTGTGCTCAAATTGTGGTCATAACTCCCTACTGTACTTGGAGTTGCAACCACAGTCTTCTGGATCCATCCCCATAGCCTCTCTCACTTCACTACCTACCCCTCTCACTTCCTACCTTCCCCCACCCCTTTGCTTACTCATGCTCCAGCATATCGGCCCCCTTGCTGTCTTGCCAGCTATATTGTCACCCAGTGCTTTGCTTTGGCTGGAGCATTCTTCCAGAGATGCCTACATGTACTGTAGAAGCATTTCTTTGTATCAGTACTTAGCCTAGAAGCACAGGCTTCCTTGCTTCCCTCAAGTCTTGGCTCACCTATCACAACCTCAAGGAGACCTCCTTAACTGCTACAGTGTTTAAAGGTACAGCTTACCCATCCTTGCACTTCCAATTTACCCTACTCTCCTCTACATTTGTTGCAGTTTTTCTATATAGTGTACTACATTCTATTCTAACATGTCATATAATTTACTTGCCTAATGTCTATTGTCTGCATCCCTTGCTGGAATGTTAGATGGTTAGAGACAGAGATCTTTACTTTGTTCCCAGATGTATCTCAATATACAGGATATCCTGACATAGAAACTATCTCAAACAGAGAGCAGCGCCTGACACGTAGTAGGTGATCAGTAGGTTACTGCTGTTGCCCTTGTTGCTAACTGTACTGGAATCAGATCATATGCCCTCTGACCTAGGCTGGAATATCCTCAGGCACATAGTGGAGGTGAGCAAGAGCAAAACAAGGTTGTATATGTTCTATCCCTATTTCTATGGGTGATTAAGTGAAGCTCAGTGCTTCAGCATTCTTGGATTCCACCTTTTTTCTGTCAGCCAAATCTTGTTCCTCACCGGCATATGTCTCCTTGTGGCCAGCAAATCCAGAGATGTGATTCCCTCATCCCTTCTCAGATGGCACCAGCATCCTAGGAGGTATAGCTTCTCCAGTCCTGGAGGGTCTCACTGTGGTCTCATGTGCCTGTGCCCCACCCCACCCCACCCCAGTTCATCTGCTCCTGTCACACCCATCTGCTCAGTCTGAGAGGTCATAATGCCCAGTGTCAATTTCCTTCCAAAGAATGCCAAGTTCTCCACTAAGAAGGAAGCCCCCTTTGTCCTGGAGACATCTGAAATCGGTTCAGATCTGTTTGCAGGAGTAGAAGCCAAAGGATTGAGCATTAGGTAAGTATATTTCCTCCATATTTATATTTTTAAAGCCAAAGAAAAGGAAAAAAGATTAGCCAAGAAGCTTTAATTACCAGATGTTTCTAGGCATACAACTCTCTGGCTCAAAGTTAAGCATTTTATTTCATTTCCAGGTTTAAAGTGGTTTTGAACAGCTGTTGGGCCACACCATCAGCTGATTTCATGTATCCCTTGCAGTGGCAGCTCATCAACAAGGGGTAAGTCCCGTGCCCCAGAGCACAGTGCTGAGAAGTGGGGTCAGGCAGATCTGGGGCTACTTTGGCTTGGGATAGCTTGGGAAGGAGAGATGAAGCCTCTTAGGGTCATGCCGTGACACCCTCTGTGCTTCCAGATGGAGTACTGATACAAGCAGACATTTATATAGTGCTTTCTGGGTACCAGGGGCAGTTCTGAGAGCTTTATCATGTATTATTAGCCCATTTGCCTTACAAGAGACCGTCATTACTACCATCTCTCTTTTCTAGGTGAGGAAACAGGCACAGAAGGGGTTAAGTAATGTCACATTCTTAGTGTATGTGTATTTATGGAAAAGTATTTATGGAGAAGTCAAATCCAATTATTCTGTCACCAGCACCCTGATGAGGACTAAATTAGATAATCCATGTAAAAAGTTAAGCATGTAGTACCTAATCAGTATACAACAAATTTAAATAATATCATTGATTTTGTTACTAATTCAGGAGATAGTTGGGAGTTATTAAAATTTTTTGACTAGAGGATGAAAGCATTGGGATTGTACAAAAGAAAGATGATTTTGGAAGTCATCCATGGGATGATTTAGAAGCAGTACATGGGAGGTGGAAAGACCAAATTAGAGGGCATGGCCTGAACTGATATGCAGCCAAGTAAATGGAAAGGTCATCCATGGGAGGAAGAAACCATCAAAATTTAGCAACCAATCAGATATGGGGTGGAGAGAAGAACAGGGCAAGAAGCCTGAGAGATATGTGGCTTCTTTACAAATCAGTGGGTTGTAAAGGTGAGGAATTGTTTGTTGTAGGGAAGAAGATTCTGGATAAATGTGTTGGGTTCCCCTTGCATTCAGGGATGACATGTGGAGCTTAAGATACCAATTTTCCAGAAACACTTAGAATCGTAACTTGGGAAAACAGAGGACAGTTTGAGCTAGACTGAGATGTGGGCATCATCCACACAATGAACTATAAATATGAAAGAGACCGTTCCCCAAACAGACCGGTGTGCCCATGTCGCTGCCAGAACCCTTCAGAGCTAAGTAAACATTGGGGCCAGGGACAAAAATGATTAGATAACAAAGGTGGAGCCAACTTGGACCTTTAACTATTTATTTTTACTTAACAAATGCTTATATAGCACTTGCAACATACCAAGCATGTTCTAGGTAGGGGCCTTACAAATATTATTTTCAGTGTTATCAAACCCCCTATAAAGTAGGTAGCATACTAAGCACTATCTTATAGAGGAAAAGTCTAAGGGATAGACACGTTCAGAAACTTGCCCAAAGTCCAGAGATGGTCAGGGGATGGATGATCTGGGGTTCAAACTCAGGCAGCATTATTTACTAAGCGATGTAGATAGGACAGGTCAGCAGAACCACATCTAAACAACCTAGCAAAGCTTCCTGCAGAAATAGTAGCTTAATTTGGATGTCACACCTGTCACTGAAGGATTCATTTAGGATCTGTTGACAATGGTGCAATCAAATGACTTCAGGGAGATTGTGAAATAAATTCTTGACCTACAGGGACCTGAAATTATGATCAGGCATTGGGAACCTCTCTCAAACAATGGCTGCAACCGGGCAAAGTCTCGGCCATACCATGGAAGCGTCTCCCTGCAAATCGCTCTGGTACTTCCAACCTGCAGATGTACAAGATGGCAGAAAAAGGAATGCTTGTGGCTTTGTGGTGGTCTATACAGGCAGTCTGCAGACTCTAGTGTGCATAGGAATTACCTCGGGTGCTTGTCACACATGCAGGCACACAGTTAACCTACCCCATCAGAGAGTTCCTGGACAAACCCTGAGAACCTATGTCTAAGCAGGACCAAATTAAAGAAGCCCTCATCCCCTCATCTAGTTCCACTTTCTGCCTAGCTAAAATGGCCCCTTGAGGTTGGAGATACACAAAAACCAGTGCCAAGGGGAGGGATGAGAAAGTCCTCTCCCATAACCTCCCAGAAGTTTTGGTTCACACTGGGCCCTTTTGGAGGAAAACCCAGTTTTCAAGTGTATTTGGAGAGGTTAGAAGAGTTATATTATTAGGAATTTTAATCTGATGTGGAGAAGACTCTTGTGGTGATGTTGTAAGAGCCACCCTTGGGCCTTCCACCATCCCAAGATGTCTGTCACAGAGGGGCAGGTGCCACAGCCGGTGACAAGAGGCAGCGGAGCCAAGACATCTAAGCCTGCCCAGGCCTTGCCTCCTCCCCACCCCCAACAAAGCTCTGTTTACATTGTTTTCCACTGACTGTACCATGCCTTGGACACTCCAGCTTCAAGGAGCTATTTTAAGGACTCACATCTTGAGTTCATACAAGGATCTCAGGTTTATTGACCAAATGATCCTCCAAGGTCTTGTTTCACAACTTGGAAAATGCCTCCAGCTCTGTCATTGCTCAGGAGTCACCACAAACGTGGCCAGGCTTCTGACCCCTGGTCCAGATGTAAGATAGACTGTTCACTTCTTGTTTTAATCACTAACTGACAGAGTTGACATTCCTTTAGTCCTATACTTCTAATTTGCCCCCTAATGTCTGGTTCTGATGGAATGTATGGAAGAGGGCACATCTCAAAGGCTCTCAGATAGCTGGAGGGATCTCTGGTAAATGTACCTTGAGTTGGATTGACAATGGAGTCAGAGAGATGCTCTGGGAGGGGCATTAACTTTGGAGTCCACTGTGGTGCTGTCCACTGGTCTTAAGCTTTGGGACAGACTCTGGTCTTCCTTGTCACCTGCAGACAACAATCCCCAAGTTCATGTGGGCCTTACTGTACATTGCCCAGAACGATCATGTCAGGTCCCAACACCCTGCTAAATGTCTGGCACTTAACTAGAGAACTAGCACATGTTTGGTAAATGAAAAAGTATTTTGATTAAGCCAAGTTTTTTTTGTTTTGTTTTGTTTGTTTTTGTTTTGTTTTGTTTTGTTTAGTCTCAATGCCGTTGACATTATTCGGGGCTGGATCATTCTTTTTTGGGGACAGGGGGCTGTCCTGTGCATTGCTGTGTGATGCTGTGTAGCATCCCTGGCCTCTACTGACTACATGTCAGTAGCATCTCCTGACTAGTCATGGTGACAATACCAAATGTCTCCTGGGGGGGCAAAATGGTCCCTAGGCAAGAACCATTGACTTTGACAAACACCCATCTGTGTCATTATTTTTGCTATTATTATCAATGATTACCTTTGGGACTTTGGAAATTCGCAAATACTACATTTTCATTTTAGAGAATTTGGGGGAAAAATATGAGATATAAGAAGAAAGCAAAAACGGTCCATAATGGCACCACTCCATAATGGCCAGCATTAGCATTTACAGGGCATTCCTCCAGTCATTTTTTGCCCTGTGCCGTATTAAAAATATGACCAAATTTTTACAAAGGTGACTATATAATATAGAATTTAAATAACAACATAAATTCAAACTCCCAGTGGCAAACCCTCACAGTGTACACAGAGAAATATGTTATATATGGCTTGGCTGAGGTGGCTTTGGCAGTACTTCGGGAAATGCGGTTCTCAGCACCAGTGTCTTTATCTTGTACATATACGGGAGTCGGTCCATGTCCTGGTCTTTCAGACAACTTCATCTCTCAGGGATTTCTGTTTTTTGGGGACAGAGGTATGGTGACTTACCAGGTGTGCGTCTTCTCATAAGTCACTCCCCTTCACCCCACGGTCCCCTGTCTATAGAGTGAAGACTAGCACGCCCATCCCATAGCTCCTCAACTTGACCTCATATCATAAGGATAGGCAAGGTGCTGCCAGTCGAAGTGCTTTGTAAGGATAACATGCTGTATAGAAACCCAGGGAAGTGTTGCTGTTGTCTGTGAATTTACCTCAGGTTTTGCTGGAGTTCATGAGCTAATTTTTTCTCCCCTCACCCTGTCTGCTCCAGCTGCCCCACAGATGAAACAGTCCTCGTACATGAGAATGGGAAAGACCACAGGGCCACCTTCCAATTCAATGCTTTCCGGTTCCAGAACATCCCCAAACTCTCTAAGGTTTGGTTACACTGTGAGACATTCATCTGTGACAGCGAGAAGCTCTCCTGCCCGGTGGTGAGCCACTCTCTCCAGAATGAGAATATGACCTGAGGTGGTGGTGGTGGGGGGGTATTTGAGAAGCTGTATTTTTAGCTGGGAATTGTCACCAGACCAGCATATGTGCATGCTGAGGGCATTCTGGAAGAAAGGGCACTAGGTGTAGGGGCAGACAGTCAGGCTCTGTCCACCCTGCCACCAACAAGCTACATGGTCTGGCATATGTCACAATCTCTGGAGCCTCGTTTTCTCATCTTTAAAGACAGTGGTGATAGGTCATGATGGCCCTTTTCTTTTCAGAGAGTCATATTAAGTAAAATGAGCACAAGAACAGACATGGAAATGCTTTGAAAAAGTTAAAAGCGCAAGGAAAATTCAAAACCTAATTGGTAGCAATAGGTGCTGGATGGAAGGCAAAAGGTGGGTATTTTTAGCTCTTGCCTGGGCAGCATAAGGGTCTGTTTCTGAGACCTGAAATGAGCCAGAGAGATGCTGCAGAAATTCCCAACACCACTTAATGCTGAACTGACTTTGTGAGAGGAAGGGCCGGGCTGTGGGGCCCCTGGTTCACAGCCATGCTCAGTGCAGCCCAGGCCAGGGACCAGCTTCCCCTCCACACCTGAGAAGCTGCTGCAGACTCATGCAGACCAACATGCATAGCGAGTTCAGGTGGGAGACAGTTTTCCGTAGCAGCCAGGTATGAACCTGGTCCTTCGGGCTGTGGTTCCACAGTGTGGTCAGGGCAGCTTCAGCATCACCTGTGAACTTGTTAGGGATGCAAACTCTCGGCTCCCCAGACCACCTGATTTGGAAACGCTGTGTAGGCCCAGAAATCTGTGATTTAACAGCTGCTCCAGGTGACTCTGAGGCATGCTCAGGTTTGAGAACCACCTCCTTAGACCTAAAAGTGATAAATTGCGAACTGTTGCCTGCTGTATTTGGAGACCCCAGTGAGAAGGAACACAGTGTTTCTGAAAAAGGACACCTGCTCACATAGCCTGTAGTAACCAATCGAACAAAGACTATAATCTCTAGTTCTACCCACTTTTTTTTTTTTTTTTTTTTTGGCCAGAAAATGGTCACATAGGAGCACCATAAAGAGGAGGGAGCAGAGAGATATTTCACAGTTGATGAAAGGGTAATTATTGGCACTACATTTTAAAAAGAAAATAAAGTGAACCAGAACATATTTTCCAAGTGTCCACCTCTCAAACCACTGCAATGAGAGTCACTGCAGGTAACAAAGTAAAGCGTTGTCCTTTTCCCAAGTTAGAGAAGAGATGAAGATACCACTCTGGGTAATTAATAAGTGAATGAATGAATGAATGAATGAATGAGCAAGCAGACAAATAAGGTAACTAAGATCTGTTGACTGAGGAATTTTGACTCTGTCAAGTGTGGCATTCCTGTTTTTAATCTGTGGTCTTTCTCTTCTCCCCTGTGTGCATTTCTCTTGCCACCCCCCCCCCCATCTTCCCTTCCCCTCCCCTGTCCTCTGCTGCTGCTGGGGTTCTTCAGACCTGTGACAAACGGAAGCGCCTCCTCCGGGACCAGACAGGGGGCGTCCTGGTGGTGGAGCTCTCCCTCCGTAGTAAGCTTCTCTGTTTCCCCCAGTGGTTGAGTTCACTCTGGGCTGCGTCCACAGGCACAGCCGCTTTGAGCATTTTCACTGAATTGCCAAACCAGTTGTGCCTGTAGACACTACCCTCACCTGCGACTCAAGGCTTCCCACCTGGGGGGCGGGGACGCCATAGCACACGCCAAACCAAGAAGTTGAAGTTTGCTGACTACCCTGAAACTCTTCTAATCTGCAGCCTAAACCCCAGCACCCCCAAGGAATTAGGAAGTGCTGAGCCTCCAGGCAGAGCATGCAGTCCAGGATAATGACAGACAATGAGATGTACAAACAGCCCGAGCAAGTCAACCAAACCTCAGCGTGCCCGCCCTGGGCTGGGCTGGACACTGGGGTTTCAGAATTCAAGGAGACCCACATGGCCCTTGTCTTCAAGAACGTATCATTTGGCAAGGAGAGAGCTGCTCAGTGCCAGGAGAGAGGGAGATGACTATCAGTGGTGGTGGAGGAGGCAGGGTGCATTGGGAGTTCATGGCCAGGTGATACACCCGAGTCTGGGGCCTAGGGAAGACCTGTGTGGGTCATCTTTCAGCCTGACCTGAAGAGTGGTGTGACATGAAGGGTGAGCAGGGTCTGGGAAGGCTGGGGCCTTTAGTAGCTGCACATCTTAGAGGAGAGTTGCTAAACCATGACCAGGGGCCCAATCCAGGCTTCCACCTGCTGTTTTCTGGCCTACAAGCAAGAACAGTTTTTACCTTCTTATATGGTTCCCAAAAAACTAAAAGAATGATATTTTATGACACAGAAAAGTGATTTGAAAGAAAATTTCAGCTTTCTCTAAAGTTTTATTGGAACCCAGCCACACGTATTCATATAGATATTGTCTCCAGATGCTTTCACGCCACAATGGCAACGTCAAGTAGTTGCAATAGGGACCATATGGCCCATAGCTGAAATATTTACTATCTGGTCCCTTCCAGAAAGTTTACCAACCCCTGCCTTAGAAAGCCAAGGAGAAAATGATTTTCTTCTTCTTTCAAAGAAGATTTTGTGAACCCTGCTATAAACTTTGCCCTAAAGGCAGTGGGAAACTGTTGGTTTAATTAGGGGAATATATGGTCAGGTTTGTATTTTAGAAACATTTATCTGAGGCTCTTCCATGATCTTTTCTTAAACCTTCAGCTTTCTCTCTCTTTACTTATTACAGGCAGGGGATTCTCCAGTCTCTATAGCTTCTCAGGTAAGGAAAAGAGGGACCTCTGGGAAGTGTCATGGGGCAATGCCTTTAAAAGGTAGATATGTGTTTTCAAAAAAGCTTAGCATTGGCCCCAGCAAAACCTGTAGGAATTAAAAGTTGCTCTTTAAAGCACACCTGATTGGGACAGAGGGGGACAGAGGCAGACAGATGTCTCTCCAGCCATCTCCTGAGCTCTGCAGGAAGGGTGGGGCTGGGGATAAATTGGATGAAGCAGAATTGGGTCCCACCTCTCAACAAAAGCAGCACCAGGGAGATTTGCTTGGGTTCCTGCATTTAGAGAATGTGATTTTCAGTGATGTGGTTTTTCAACAAATATTTCTGAGTCTCTGCTATGACTCTGCCCCTGACCCTCATTAACTAAATGACCTTGGGCAATGAACTCACCCTTCCACTCCCCAGTTTCCTCTAAGAAATTAGGCTAATCATTGCTCCTAACATACATGGCTGCTGTATGGACTAAATGTTACAACGAAGGGCACCAAAGAATGCCCTGCATGCAGCAAACATCCAGTAAGATTGGCCATAATTACTCTTCTAGGCAGTGGAGCTCCTGCAGAGAGAAATAGGTAAGGCCTCTGCACTTCCCATAGTGTGACACGTTGGAGTGGGGGTAGAGGAATGATTTAGATAGCAGCCAGGGAAGCCTCTCAGAGGAAGAAACATTTCAGCTAAGACCCAAGATCTCAACTGAATGATGAGGAGAACAACTATGTGAGGAGATGGGGTAAGACAGTTCTACTTATTAATAAACTCACTGATGTAGACTTTGCTCTCCCAGTTACAGGAAATCATGTAAACCAACTTTTTAGAATTCTAATCCCAGATCCTCATTTCTAAAGGAAGTTCTACAGCAAAAGCCCTAAGGTGAAATGTGCCAGCACCCTGTTACCCATATTCAGATTCCCATCTGTCAGAGGTCCACAACCTAGGTTAATCTGTTGGGTTCCTTGCACTGACAAAACCGAGCTCCCGAAACCCCAAAAGATAAACAAAACTGATTTTATATAAAATGAGAATTTTATGAGATTTTTATGAGAATCTACTTAATGCCCGAGTTGACTGTTTTGTTGAGTTAACCCTTTGTTGTGCTGTCCTTGCTCCATGTAAACTTTCTCTGTCTGCTTTCCTGTCTGACTCACAGATGTCCTCTATCACCTCATCGTGATGCTGGGGATTTGTGTCGTGTTGTAGGAGATCGCCAGAAAGGCGGTGACATCTCCTCCACTCAACATCATCTCCTCTGTCTGTGACAAACTCCCATGTATCGTGCTGCCAACAAGAACAAACAGAAGAGCATACTGTTGAGATGCAGAGAACAGTGCTTTGCCAATTACGTGTTCCAATAATTTTTGTGAAATTCAGTGATGGTCTTTGGTGCCCCACTTCCTCTTGTGACTTCCTGTGGCTCTGAGATCCTGCAGTTCTTCTCCTGCAGCTGGTGGAGTCTCCTTTCCCCATGCTCAAGTCAGGGCTGCAGTGGACTCCTGTGAAAGCTATTCTAATTTTAAAAGACTAGCACACCCAACCAAGCGCAGCTGAGCATTTTGAGGAGAATGTAGGGCATAACCACAAAGTCAGTGCTAAGTACAGAATGCACCGGAATAGCCAACTTTGCCAAGGGGGGCCTTTGTCATTGATGTTGCGCAATGCTTATTTAAGAACCAGGGCTTAGCTACCAGGCAGGGGTTCCCGTCGTTCAAATGATGATGTGGGAATCATAGTGGAATAGAACAGTTTTGCTCAAACTTGAGTATTATAAAGGAAAACAATTCTTGAGAGGCCCCCAATGCTAACCTAATTTGTCTTAATTACAGTGTTTCTTAAATATGTATAAACATTATATACATATTAACTCATTTTATAGGTGATATAGATTTCTAAAATCAAAAGAAAATTACAGATTATGTAGTAATAAGGCTACAAAAAAGAATAATATCCACATTAACATAAATTTAAGATCATAATGTGGCATGGATTAAATGAAACTGCTACTGACACACGACATCTGTGACAGGTCCTGTGAAGTTTGTCAACCCAATCCTACTGTACACCTTATAATGTTCAATGCTCTCACCATTTTTCTTTCTATTCGATCTAAGAAATTTTCATCTGTGCAGAATGGTCTGACCTCATTTAGTCTCTAACAGTTAAGCACATATTTGTTTTTGTCTCCTTAACTTGATTGTTAGAATGGAACCTACCAAAAGACTCAGAAACGCAACTGCAAAAATGGCCATGGTGCCACACCCTGGTAACACTGCCACCCCAGTGATCCAGAATGCACTGATATGAATGATTTACATTGTCAATAAAATAAAAACTGAATGAACCAATCCTCATAGACAGTTAACTGGCAACTCAAGGATGCACTGTTGACCCCAGAAGTTAGAATGTGATAGGAAAAGCCAGAGCTCTAAGTTTTTTTCTTAGTCTTGTACAGACTTACTTAGTGGGCTTATAATTTGAAAACACATCAGTTTGTATCTCTGTGTTTAATATATTTGAGGAGTTTTGAGATCTGTAGTTCAATGGGTCTTTTATAGCTGTGTTATGGAACTCAGAAATTCAGTTAGTTCCCAAATTTCTGGAAACACGGAGTACATTTTTGTGGAGCAACAGACTAGATTTAAATGACTCCGTGTAGTCTAAACTGGTCTCAAGGATGGAGCTCCAACCAACTGGGGTCTCTTCTTCCTGTACATCCAGAATTTGTATAATCAGGAAGGACAGAAGACATACTGTGTGGTTCTAATCAAAAACTCTTAAATAGCTTACTTAGAGCCATAATCAAATCTTTGGCATGTCAGAGTAAAACAATGTTATATTAGTTTTGCTTTATTTTATCATAATGTTTAATGATCTTGTATTGCCACCTGGGTACTATGGAATAAATAAAATGCCTTAAAATAATAACCTATGACTACAGCTCACAGTGTTAATGTAGCATATCGATAGCCAATTCCGACACCTTCCTGAGGGGTTCTACAACTACAACTTCTTAGACTTACACACATACCACAGACTTTCCATCATTCTACACTACATTTATGTTCCAAAAATTCCAGCATTTGCTTTCTGATGCAAGGAGGCAAAGCCATCCACATGATCTCCCCCTCTCCAACACCCTAACATCTACCACCTGGTAGCAACCAAATGTGTTTCAACCTCAAGTGAGCTAAAGCCCCTTCATGTCTTCTGACTTCCCTATCAAAAAATTAAGAGAGCACATTCAAAACTGTCTCTGTTATACATTCTCGTGAGTGCTAGACATAAAACATATGTGAGAATGAGGAAAGAGTTCCTCCCTTAGGTATCCTTGGTTGACATAGAAAAAACACTGGATATAAATTTTAGCAAATTAATCTTATCCAATTCCTGCTTATGATCCTTAAAGACTATCTCTCTTAAAATTTGAGTAATATAAAGAAAAGATATGCACAGACATGCATATGTACTGAGTTTATGTACATTCACATAAAACTGATCTATCAATACATACAGATTTAGTTATAGAGAGATTTATGTGTGTGTGTATACGCATGTATATGTGCATATATGTGGACATATGAATGTATGTGTATGCACATGTGTGGAAATATGTTTTACATTTGTTTGCATATGGATGCCAAATGTTGTTTATAATGTTCCATGAAAAAGGCAGAAGTTGGACAGCCTTGGTGGCTCAGTGGTTTAGCGCCGCCTTCAGTCCAGGGTGTGATCCTGGAGATCCGGGATGGAGATCCACGTCAGGGTCCCTGCATGGAGCCTGCTCTTCCCTCTGCCTGTGTCTCTGCCCACCCCCCTCTCTCTGTGTGTGTCTCTCATGAATAAATAGATAAAATCTTTATTAAAAAAAGAGAAAAAGTCTTTATTCTATAAATATAACTTGTGTAAGCATGTGGGCTAGAGCCAAAAGGGAACAAACACACACACACTCTCTATACTAATTCAAAGATGAGATAATAATAGACAATCACTATATCCCACCCAACCTTACATCAGTATCTTGTTTTCTAATGCCTTTTAAATGTAACAACATTGGACTGCTTAACTACTGCCACACTTTTCTACATACCTGTATCAGTCCTTAATATATTGCAGTACTACTAGTTGTGCCACCTCTCTTCAACTAACCTGAGAGCTAAAAATGAAGGAAAGTTTCATATTATCATCTCCCCCAGTGTGGTACTTGGCACAGAGTAAGTGCCCAATAAATGTTCTTTGAATTAACGAAATGTGATATGGATCAATGGATGGATGGATGCATGCATAGGGAATGGCCTATCTCTCTGAGAGACCTCATAGCAGAGATTGTTCTGTTCCCTTCCATGGTTTGGAATCCAGAAGCCCTGCACCCAAACAAGGGAAGAAGTTCTGAAGGAGACAGATGTTGTCCCACTGTCTCCATGCTGAGATAACAGGGGAAGCTCCCCTTTCCCTTTCAGATAAATGCCTTCTTTTGACTAATGTCTTCAATTCTTGATGCTAATGGCTTACAGGGAGGAGCAAAGTCTACCACAATAAAAATGGAATCATGTTAGAGAAAATGGAGTCTGTGAAGGTCCTAGAGTTCAGTCTCCCACCTCTGGGCAGGAGAAAAGTCCTACCAGTGGAAACACAATAGCTCCGTGGAGATGGGACTGTCTGTAAAGCACTTTCCTTGGGCCCTACTTAGTGTCCTTCTTCCTGACAAAAGGCAAGAATTCCACCAAACCTTTTGCAAGATTTGGTATTAAAGACCCTCGACTCACTAAAAGGTAGTTTATTTTCCTATACAGAGCTAAAAAATCTCTCTACAAAAGCAGCTCACAGGTCAAGTAACAAAGAAAATATTCCCAATCTCATCATGGGTTTTCACTTCTTCAGTCTTGGGAAATTCACCAGGAAAATATCTCAAACACAATATATCGTCCAAACTGCTCTCCCACATTCAGGAGCAGCCACAAGGAAGATAATCTGGATGTGAGGAGTTCCAAGGGATAAAAAAAGAGAAATACTGTAAGTGCATTAATGGGTTAATAAGTCTGCTACAAAAACCACTGACAGACATGATGGAATCCTATTGTTTGGGCAAAGGGGGAAGTATTCATAGCGGAATGGATGGGTTCATCTTTGTCTGCTGGAGATTGGAAAAAATTAAACACTTCATAAATCAATGGAAAATTCCACTTAAAATTCAAGCCTTGATTGAAAGCAAAGCCTATCTTCATTCCTTTGCTTTGGATAGGAAAGAAATTAAGCAATAAATTGAGACTGTGACATTTCCATTTGGAAACTTCAGTGCTCACAGGAAGTCAGGGCTCAGGATCAGGCCTTCCGGGGACTGATTGACTGCCTAGATCCAGTCTACCTGGAATAGCCTGATCCTGTTGGATTTCAGTGGTTCTTCACATCTTGGATAGAGCTTTATCTCCAGAAAACATTTCTGGAATGCCTTCTGGTAACTAAAGTTTAGGGAGCAGCCCCTGGAAAAATAAGGCAGGGCAGGGTGGAACCAGCAGCTCCAGGTTTTGTTCTCTGGCTTTCCTTTCTCCCAGAATGAAATTGGAATCACTGCAAATTCACAAGCTAATGGGCCGGAAATATCTGGCAGCTAGGGCAAGTTCACTGGCAGGTCTGGGAGCAACAGCCCAGCCTTGGTCCCTCAGGAAATGAGTTCACCATATCCAGCTCATCCAACTCCACATTTGGTCTAGACAGCACAGCTCTGAGGTGGGAAGAGCAAGCCAGCTAGATGACTCCCCCTACTGGCAGATTCACTCAATATCCCATATCTACACCCCCTTGAATGGGATTTTTAATGCATCACAAGGGACTGGTCCTTAGACTTTCATGGGATCCCACAAACATCTTTAAAGAAAATACCTCAGAAGCTCTCCAAGATTTTAGCTTCCTCCTCAGTAAATTCGGGGAATAGTTAAGCCTTCTTTGCCTTCCAACCAGAAAGTTGTTTGTTCTCCTTTGCCCTGTGGGAAGCAAAGAAGGGTGCTGGTGAGTCACAGAGGAGGAAAGGCTGCCTGTGAAATGTGGCCTCTGAACAGACAACTCAGTCGGTCTCTCTTGCTTGTTGACTGAAATGCTGTTCTTAGCCAAACTGCAAGTAGGCAGGAGCAGCCTCAGTGAGGGAAAGCCTCATTATAGATGAAATCTTTATTTCCTTGGGCTTTACTGATAAGCTTAAATGGGTAGTCTGCAATGGCCTAGGAGGTGAGGTTAAGGTTGAATTTTGCTGCAAAGGAAGTCTTAAAAATAATAATCAAATCTATTGAGCTCTTATGATCAGTAGAGCACCAAGTGAAGCACCTCATATACATGTTCACATTTAATCCCCACATCTACCCTTTGAGGGAAGTATTATCATTATTCTCATTTACTGGCAAAACAACCA